TCGAGTGGACTGGTGACCGGTGCTCATTTCCTCAATCGACCTGGGGGGCGTTCTGTCCATGCCCGACACTAGGAGAATAACTGCGCATTTAAACAGAACTTCGCTCGGGGATCTACTGACCCGGGTCAATCCAGACCCAGGTCACTCAGGCCTTGCAGGGTCCTGCACGCAAAATCCTGCCATATATTGCAGGATCCTGCGCCCAAGCCCGGGTCAGTGCGCCCCTGGCCCAGCAGGCTCCTGCAGGATCCGGCGCTCTGCCTGACCCCCGTTTGCACTTTGGCCCCCGTCCCTTCCACCCCGATTCGCCGGCCCGCCAGCCGGCTCCGGGCTGCCGCTCCGGGTCGAGGCGCTCCCGGAGCTGCCGCAGTGCTCGGCGGGGCGCGTCAGCAGGCCCCGCAGCAGGCGGTCCGCGACGGCCGCGACGGGCTCTGGTTCTGCTCGGTCGCCTGCGCACGGCGCGTCTGCTCCCACCGTCTGGCCACGCCGTGAGCCACATGGTTCCGACACTGACACTGCATGGATCGTCCACCCTTCAGCGCTAGTTCCTGACACTGCATGGATCGTCCAACCTTCAACGATCGGCTGCATTTTTCGATCGCCAGGTCGTTCCACATAGGCCACTGAAGGCATTCAACCTTGAGCGCCCGCGGCGGGGTCGTCACCGTGTCTGCACGACCCAAACCAAGCGTACCAAGGCGACTCCAGTGCACCGCACCGTGTTTGGACTCCCTTCGGCCCTACTCCGACACGGTATGGTGCAGAGTCGGTTCGGCCCTTGGGGGCCGGAAAACTGTTCTGAAGACATATATACGATAAGACCTCTTGCGATGAGAAATTTTGGGGCGCACCCTTCGACGATCCTCGAGGGTTCTAAGGTGCTCCTGCGATTCGGTGGTCCCAGGGGCCCTCGGGGGATATGACGTTTCCGTGAGGCACCTGCTGGCAGTCCGATTTCTCATTGGATGTGCCTGCTGTGCACCGTCGGTGTCGTACCTGGATCTGGGATCGACGACGCCTCGGGAAACGCCAACGCGGCACGGTGCACACAGCCCGATCGCGGAGCCTGACCTGACCCCTCTCCCCACCCGGCTCGAGCGTCTCCCCCACTCCCAGTCTCTACCGTGTGTCCATAACAACTACTCGCATCCGCCCTAAAGCTCTGAAAGCACTGGCGCTCTCGCAACATACGCTGTTTGTAGAACGCGCACGGCTGGCTTGTCGGGGCTCGGTGCGCTAACAAACGCGTGCAACCCCTAACAGTGGGAGTTACTACCAACACAAAGTATTCGACTAGCCTCGCATGAATTCACTACGCGATTCACTGTCGCCCGTCATTCCGTCAATCGTCCGTCGGTTCGGTGTCGTCCGTTTCGTCTGGCGTCCGTCTCTCGTCTGTCGGTCGTGATCTCTGCCGTGGAGTCCCTCTGGCGTTCGAGCAACATGCAACTCACTTGACACGCAGGTGCACCCACAACAACGGCGCATCAGAAACCACATTATCGCAACGCCGGGCTGCAGCGCAACACTCTGCAACAGCGTCACACATGATGGTGCCTGGCCGAGATAGCCACCACCGTGCCTTGGCACGCAGTGGGGCGTCCTCAGGCACCCCGAGCACTCTGTATCAAAGATGGAGAGCTGTCCATGTTCTCTGGGGGGGGCCCCTGGCCCCGAGTTCCGAGGCACTCTTGGGCGCGCTCTGAAGAGTACCCCGCGTGAGTCCGCCAGAAGCCGAACGAGTGCACGCACGGTCCGAAAACGTCCTCAAAGCCCCCCAAGACGGCCCAAGAGGGTCCCAAGGCAACCCGAAAATGCCCATGGACGGCCAATGTGGCCGCAAGCCGGCCCAAGAGGCTCCCAAAACGCCCAAAGAGGCCCCCAAAGTGCTTCTCCCCTTTTCCAATTCTAAAACGACTCCACGAGTGCTTCGAAGCCCCAAGACGGCCAAGTATGACGTCAGAATCGCCCGAAGAAGGCCCCAGATGCCCACAAGAGGGACACAGCAGGACCCTAAGAGGGGGGCCAGACAAAGGGGGAGCACGAACTGACATTCCGAACCCTCCGCTGCAAGACGACCAGCGAGACAGCCAGCAGGACCCCCAAAATCCCAAGGGGTCTTCAAGATACGCACAGGAGGCCGAGAGGCCAAACAGCATTGTCTCCACGAGGCTTCCGAACAAAAAAAAACCTCCCAAGATATCCCATCAATCACCCAACAGGCTCCCGATCCACAACTCAAGCATGGTGGCGGGATGGGCCGACAGCCACTAGATGGCATTCACTTCGGTATCAACGGCAAGATTGACATGTTAGGGTGTTGCAGGTCACGGCTCGACACCATGACTGAATTACGCAATGCAGCACACTGGCAGTGTACGCGTCGCTTGATTTGAGTGAGCTGACGCCTAGATCCGCAGCGTCGGCCCGCAACTAGTGCAACGCCATATGCACAGATGCGCCCAATCACGAACTGAGGCCGCACGCTTCACGCAGCAGCTTCGGCGCAACGTAGCGCGATACGCATGACAGTGGCGCTTGCGCACCGCATGCCCCGGCCTCTGCGCACGCGATGCAATACACTGTCCTGACCCACGTCGTGGTTGTCAGCGGCCGCAAGAGGATCAGGCAGCGGTCGAGCAGCGGCGGGGCGCGCTCTGGAGCACAGCAGGGCACAGGAAAGAGGGAACGCGCTGAGGCGAGGAACGGCCAGAGAGGCCGAAGGGGCGAGCGAGGCCGAAGGGCATGTAAGCCTTCGTGTGTGTGCGTGTGCCGAGGAGCAAGGTCCTGAAGATCAGTGCCAACATCAGGCTCCTTTCAGGGCCGTTCATCTGAGCTCCCCCCCTCCCGATCCCCCTCCGCCCCCCTCCCCAAACATGCCCTGGCCCATCTCCCTCCGAATCCAACTTCCAATCCAGCCACACTCCCCTACCCAACCTTTTTCAAGCCTCCTGCCTGCCCAAGAGCTCCTCTACCCACTCGTTCTCTCGAACTCCTTCCCTAGCCTCCCCGCCGTTCCCTGCCCCATCTCTGCCGTTGAAATCAAGGAGGTTCGGGCTCATGTGGAGGTACATGCGGTTTCTGCCTTCCTTCACTTTCTCCGGCGCTATCGACGCCAGGTCGCTGAAGAGCTGGGCGGTCAGGAGGGAATCGTACCCCGCCTCGTGCTCCTTCGAACAGCTGCCGTGAGCGGCCCAGTCTCCGTAGGCGGCCTTGGTCTCCGCGGTCCGATCCAGCGCGCCTGATGCTCGGCGGAGAGCCCCGGGGAGGAAGTGAGGAAGGGCGCCCCTTCTCAGAAGGCTCGGAAGCCCCTCGGGCTTCCGAGAAGTTGTTATGAGCCTTCCCCGAGGACGCAGAAAACCCCTCAGAAGGCGCAGGGGCTTCTGGGAAGTCTGGACGCCTTCTGAGGAGGCCCTCTCCTTCTCGTTTCCGCCCCTCGCTCGCCGACGAGATGTGGAGCCTAGGCGCAATCCTGTGCCGTGCTCCCTGCTTCCCTTCCCGCGACGGAGGAGTACAGGGCGGAAGAGAATGGCAAGTGGAGTGGAGAAGAGCAGGGTTCGAGCTAAACAGTGTCCTTCGTTTTTGCATTGATTTCGTTTTCCTTCGTTCTGTCTTTGCTACGAAACGAAATCAAAACGAACATGGTCTACGACATCGCCAAAACTATTCAGCTCGAGCCCTGGAGAAGAGCATCGGAGGCGGATGAGGACGAGGGATGAGGCGGGTCGAATGAGAGAGGGCAGGGGGAGGGAGGAACAGGCAGGAGGAGGATGAACTGGAGAAGCTCGATTACGAGGAGCACGAGGGCCAGCTGACATCGACCACCTAAATGAAACCATACAGGTTTCTTGTCCATGTAAGATCTGAGCATATCCTGCCTCCCCTCTTCCCTCCGCATACCTCGGGAAGCCTCAAATAACGTCGAACCTGTCCGAGACAACTTCCACAAAACCTCAGAAACCCTCGGGGGGGTTACGAGAGCTTCTAGACGCGTAAAAACCCTAAGCAGAAGGCCTCCGAGAGTGCCCCGACGTCGCGTTTTTCTCAAGACGTGGCCCCCCCCGACCTCTGCACCCAGTCCTGGGGATTGTTTCTGCTCGCCCTTGATCGGTTTTTGACGGTCCCTAGGCCCGAAACGGGCCTCTGAAGGCCACAATTAATACACAGCGGGCTATCACGACTCTTTCGCGGCGCCGGAAGACGAGGCACCTGCGAGAAGGGCCCCCCCGAGACCGCGCCCAGCCGCGGCATGAAGGCCCTCCGAAACTGAAACAGACACGGCGACGGATCCCCCTCCTCGCTCCGCCTGCGAAGCCCCTGGAGGTTCCCAAGGCCACCAATGGTCCCCGAAGGCCCAAGAGACCTCCCGTGGCCCACAGACGACCAAAACCTTCCTGCACACTCAACCCTTTTGGACTGGGTCGGACGAAAGTGGGAGGGGGGGGGCAGAAACCGGGGGAAGTAGCGGATCAGCTCACGTAGCGGGTTGTCCCCGGGCCTCCCGGCCCTGAAGGCATCAACTCATCGAGAAACAGCGCCCGGCGGCGACACATGTCGTATTCCCCCCTTTTGCACGCAACGGACTTCGTATTCCCCCCTCATCCCCCCTTCGCCCGGCCGGAGTGGAGTCTGGAAGAGGAACACAATACCCACCCCCTATCGGGGGAACCTTGGCCCCGTTGGGAAACTTACCCCGCCTAGGTGGGGACGGGCGCCGTCACCCTCAGGTTTCGGGGAACCAGTCCCCACCTAGAGTGGGTACGCTGGGAGAGCCACCTTACCATGCCCAGGCGGGGGTGGGGTGGGTTCTGATGGCGATGATGATCACGATGATAATCACGATGATGATAATGATGATGATGCTGCTGATGTTGATGATGATGATGATGGTGATTATGGTGATGATGATCATGACGATGACGATGCTGATGCTGATGCTGATGATGGTGATTCTGATACTAAGAATGATGATGCTGACGATGATGATGATCATGATGATGATGAGTATGAAGAGGATGATGATGATGTTGATGGTGGTGATGAAGGTGATGATGCCGATGATGATGCTGATGATGGTGATGAGTATGATGATGTTGATGGTGATAATGGCGATGGTGGTGGTGGTTGTTGCTGCTGCTGATGATGGCGATGGTGAAGATGGTGGTGGTGGAGGCTGCAGATGATGGTGCTAATGATGATGATGATGATGATGATGATGATGATGATGATGATGATGATGATGATGAAGATGGCAATGATGACGATGATGTTGATGACGACGACGTCGACGACTACGAGGAGCAGGAAGAGGAGGATGAGAATGATGATGATGCTGCTGATGATGCTGATGATTATCAGCATGGTGATCATGATGATGATGGTTATGCTGATGTTTTTGGTGATGACGATGCTGGTGGTGGTGGCTGTGATGATGATGGTGTTGATGATGATGGTGGTGATGATGCTGCAGATGCTGATGATGGTGATGATGACGATGATGATGATGATGATGATGTCGACTAAGTCGACGACGGCGAGGCGGCGGAAGAGGAGGATGAGGAGGACGAGGATGATGATGCTGATGATGATAATAGTGATCATGATGCTGATGTCCATGATGATGATGATGCTGACAATAAGGATGATGATGATGGTGATGAAGATGATGATGCTGTTGATGATGGTTCTGAGGGTGATGGTGATGATTTTGATGATGACGATGATGCTGATGCTGTTGATGATGATTATGGTGATGATCATGGTGATGTTAATGGTGATGGTTGTTTTTTTACTTTTAAAAAAATAATGTGTTAATGGTGGAGATGACTATGATGGTGATGATAGTGATTTTGTGTTTACTGCTGGTACTGATGGTGACACTGATGAGGAGGATGATGATGATGATGATGGTGAGGATGATGATGGTGATGATGATGCTGCAGATGATGATGAGGAGGATGGCAATGGTGGCGGTGATGATGATGATGACGACGTCGACGACGACGAGAAGTAAGAGGAGGACGAAGATGATGTTGATGATGTTCTTGATGATGAGGATGATAATGATGATTATGGTGATGATGATGGGCATGCTAATTATGAAGGTGATGATGACTAGGATGGTGGTGGTTGTGCTGATGATGTTGATGATGGTGGTGATGATGATAATGATGATGATGATTATGATGATGATGGTTATGATGACGATGACGATGATGACGACGAAGTCGACGACGACGAGGAGGAAGAGAAGGATGAGCAGGAGGATGATGATGCTGCTGATGATGCTAATGATGCTGGTGACGATGATGATGATGATGATAATGATGATGATGATGATGATGATGATGATGATGGTGGTGGTGGTGGTTGTGGTGATGATGATGGTGATGACGATGATGATGGTGATGATGATGGTGGTGATGATGATTATGCTGATGCTGATGCTGATGGTGATGGTGATGGTGATGATGCTGATGCTGATGCTGATGCTGATGCTGATGCTGACGCTGCTGATGATGATGATGATGATGCTGATGATGGTGATGATATACAGGTCGCAGGTGGCCTGTCTTCGCGACCCTCTCAGCGCGCTCGCGGGCTTCGCGGGCAAAGGCGGAGAGGCCTCGGCCGCCTCGGAAGCCGCCGACGGCCCGGGGGGGGGGGGTAGCACAGAGGCGCGACTCCCGTCGTGAAAGGCTTAACGACTTCTGCCGTCCATGGGCTCGTGCTGGAGCGGTCGCAAATTGCTCCAACTGTCCCTGGAGATCTCTGGACTTACCTGGATCTACCCGGATTTGTCTCGATTTACCTGGATTTACCTGAATTCTCCTCGATGTATCTAAATTTACCGAGATTCATCTGGCTCGATCCCCACCAGTCGATTGGCGAAAAGTCGACAAGCCCTGGGAGATCCTGTACCCCATCCCCTTCGCTTTGTTCGCCTTCGGTCGATGAGGAGGCGGAGCAGGAGGAGGATTGAAATTCCAGCCTCCTCCTGCTCATCATTCTCCTCCGCGCTCCCTTCCTGCTGTTTCCGCCTTCCCTTGCTCACACCCTCCTTCTCCTCCTCCTCCTCCTCCTCCTCTCCCTCCTCCTCCATCCCATCTCCTTATGACTAATTAGCTTCTCCCGGTCGCATCCTCAGACGTGTCGGTAAGGCGGGCTGGGCGTTTCACCTGAGCCACCCTAACCATTCATCATCCTGAAGCTTGAAATTCGCATCAATTCCAAGGATAGAGAGGGGACAATTTGAAATTGTGGATCTCGCCTTAGCGCCGCGCGCATTGTCTGTTTGATACGTGGCAACAATTTCAAGGATGGGGCACTCGTCTTCAAAATGTGCAACAGTTTCATCGAGGAAGCGCATGTCGTGTTCATCATGCGGCGTTTGCATTCGCACCGCGCACATTCGTCTTACAAGTGTGCAACAGCTTCAAAGATGTAAGGGGGGATCATTCTCGAAATAGGGCTCTCGCCTCAGTGACGCGCACTCTCGCCTTGAGATGCTGCAGCGAATGGTCGATCCACTACGACTTGCTTGTAACATGGGTCCCGAGAACTCTGAGCCTCCCTCCGAGGACCAGCAGTTTGCCCTGGATACAATAGGCACATCTCTGGGGAAACCAAAAGGTACCGATACCGCTACTCCCTGGACCACTCCCGGGGTGCGTTCTGACCATGATCTCGGAGCGAATCCAGCGGTGGAGACGAGGGCCTCCCTGGAGGCCCCAAAAGGGGAAAACGAGGAAGGGCAACCCCCATGCGCTAGGGGCGTCGGACGCCCCATCCAATAGAAACTAGACGAGGGCAGGGAACCCAAGCGGCGCATCAGAGGACGAGGGCGAGGACGAGGGAAGGGTCGAGGTATGGGCACCTTTTCCTTCTCCGAATCCAGTAAGATCGCCAACTCCAGGACAGAACAGGGGCACACCGCCTCCGTCGACCCTGCGCCTCGCGAGGTGCCCCCCCGGGTTATGTTGTTCCCATCCTACTTAAGGACCCCATCCCAGAAATAATTTCGAGCACCCGGAAAAGTGCCAAAAGAGTGTCGAAACAGTGTCGAAACCGTGTCGGGCGAGTGTCTCCCAGGGCCCGACACGTGAAAACCCTTGAGTCTCGGTATTTTTTTGGGCGCTCGAAACTCTTTCTGGCGGTCAAGGCTAAAGCAGGTTGGGGCATCATAACCCCTGGGCTCTGCGGGCCCTTGGGAGGCAGCACGCTCCCGTGCAGCTCCCGCCGTCAAGAGCCGGCCTCTTGCCCAGCGTGCGTGCACGCAGAGTGTGGACGGGAAGCGGCCTGGGCCTCCAGAGGCCCAGACTGAAGGGGCCCTGGGACACACAAATGAATAGACACAAATTCCAGGACTCCCAATATGTTCGAATACTTTCTAGGTTTTCGTCTTACCCCCCCATTCCCACATTTTCCCATATTTTCCTGGGCGGCGAGGCAGAGGCGGTCCGCTCCAGCGCGTGGCAATTCGGGGCCACCGAAGGGCGAATTGGCTGGCGTGCAAGCGAGGGACAAGGACCGAAGGCGGCCGCGCGCGGGAAGGTGGACGAGGGAGCGCTCAGACGTGCGGGCTGGAGCGGCCGCCAGTCGGAGAACGTGTAGACGGCCCCTTTTGATGCTCGTGGCGCTCGAGGCCTGGGTCTCCGGAGGCCTCCGGACGCCCCCGAGAAGCTCCCGGGAGCCCCCCGCGCCAGGCTCGCCGGAGGCCCCAAGCGGATCCAGCGCGTCCGAGATCGGGCCCACGACGTCCAAGCATGCCAATGCCCAGAGGTGCTTCCCCCCCCCTCCTCTCCTCCGTTAGGAGCAAGGCAAGGCGACACCAACACCACCAGGGCGAGGAGGTGCGAGGAGGCAAGTGGGGTCTCCCTGGTGCTGTGGTCCCCCGCCCTCTCGCTCGAGACATCTCCCGCCTCCAGCTCGGGAAGGCATCGTGGACCTCCTCGCCGGAGGTGGGCCCCCTGGTGGTGCTGGTGTCCCTTCTCCTCCCTCCGATCCGCTGCTACCTCGGCGAGAACCGAGCCCCCGACGGCCCCGATCCTCGATCTTGGACGTGCGAGGGGGCCTGGGGAAGTCTGGGAGTCCCAAACGGTGGGGTGATGGACCGTGCGGTGGCATCGGAATCCCGACAGACCTTGCCGCGCGGTCCGTCACCTCACGGTCTTGGGACCTGGGAGGCCCCAATCGCCCCACGCATCCTCGGAGAACCTGCCCAAGTCCCGAAGCTGTGCGCTCGCCCCGAATGCACACTGACTCGCCCGACGGCCCAGAGACCTGGTTCGTACAGCGCCCCCCCGCCCGTGTCGGCGCACCCCATCACGCGAATCATGCCCCAGAAGGATTTCCACATGTGGCACCAATTGGCAGCTTCGCATGGCGTCCCCCTGCCCATGTCGGGACATGCCTCGCACGGGTTGTGCCCGGGCCCAAGCGGCAAGCGGCAACTATAAAGATTCCTGTCCAGGCAGTCCCAGAAGACCTCTGGGCGACCCCAGAAGGCCTCTCCTGGCGGCCCCAGAAGGCCTCTCCAGGGAGGTCCGCGGGTTTGTTCGGTAGAAGTCCCGAGGTTTGTTCGGTTCCTGTTCGGGGGTTTGTTCGGTAGGAGTTAGGACGTTGGTTCTGGAGTTCGTGGGTTTGCTGTACTTTCGACGGAGTGGCCACTGCACCGTTTCGGACTCACTTCCGAATCTGGGGATTGGACGCCTGGAAGGGGCACGGTCAAAATAGGTGCGATGCCAAACAACAAGTGTTGCCCAAAACTGGCAGTGGCCACTGTCAAACAGGCGCCCTTCTGTCTCAAATGGACAACGTCCGCGGAGACGCCGACGGCAACCCCTGCTCAAAATGAGCAGGAACTGCAATCGGTCTTCGTGCCCATTCTTTCCGTACGCATTCTGATCGTACCGAAGGGATGGCTGAGGGATCTTCTGACCCGGGTCAATCCAGACCTGGATCAGGCAGGATCCTGCAAGGGCTTGGGCAAAAGATCCTGCAGGATCCTGCAAGATCTGACGCTCTGACTGACCCCACTTTGCATTGACCCCCGTCTGTTGAGCCCCGAGAGAGGGGGAGTGAGGATTTTACGAGGAGGGAGGAGGAGGAGGAGGAGGAGGAGGAGGAAGAGGAGGAGGAGGAGGAGGAGGAGGAGGAGGAGGAGGAGGAGGAAGAGGAGTGAGGAGGAGGAGGAGGAGGAGGTAGGAGGAGAGAGGGGGGAGCCCGGAGTCCCGCATCCCCCTCCCCCCGGGAATGGCGTCGAAGAGGTGGGCGGTGTCGTAGACGCCGGCAGGCAGGCGGCGCCGAAGCAGCGCCGCCAGCTCGCGCGGGGTCAGCAGCGAGAGTCTCGGCTGCTCGAAGCAGGCCTGCAGAAGGACTTGAAAGGGGCCCAGGGACACACACACACACATACATCCCAGGATCCCCCTTATGTTCCAGAATTTTCTGGGGCTCTGTCGTCCCCCCCACTTCCCATATGTTCCCATAGTTTCCTGGGGGTCGACGATTCATTGTCTGCGTGTTGTTTCCCTCCTGATGACCTCTGTCTTGTTCGCCCTGTGCCCCACCCCCCCATTCCACCTCTGACGCATCTCGTAGGCGGACGGGGTGGGCGAGGAGAAGTAGACGAGGGGGAGGATGCAGATGAGGAGGGGTGAGGCAGGAAAGGTTTGGGGGAAAGAGGAAGGGCAGGAGAGATCCCCTACTCCTCACCGATCCTCCAATCTCTCTTCCCCGAGGAGAAGGATGGGGATGGGAAGGAGGCGTTGGAGGAAGATGGCGACGGCAACGGCGACCGACCACGGACGGCGGATACGCACGTCGGACGACGGACGAGGATCGCTCAAAATCACCTCGGGAACTCGTGCCTGGGCGCGCTCAGACAAGGACTCAGAGGCGGACTGACCTTGGCGACGAATGGGCCCCCCAGGGCCTCCCAAAACACGAAGAAACGTACCCAAACACCCTCCAACCTCGATCCAAAGGGCCAAGACATTCGATGGATTGATGTTTCGATTCGTGTGCCTAAGAGGTCTCCAACCCTTCCCCAGAGAGCAAGTTTCCGTCACAGATCCACGTCTGATAGCCTGGAGGCCTGAAGACAACGCCTGAATTTAATGGATGGGAAGAGAACGCGGACCATGGCCAAGACTGATCGCGAACATATCGTGCCGATCCTGGTCAACGTCCATCCTGGCCAGCGTCAATTTCGTAGATCACCCTCGCGAGTGACGACGGCTGACATGGACCATGACCAATACTGGCGTGAACAAGATCCCGCGACATCTTGGCTCTGGTCCCCGTGTTTCTTCCCTCAACTGGAGACCGAGATGGAGGAACGCCTGGACTGAGACACACTATCCGCTCGATGTCAGGGGACGCGGAGGCCCTGGGGGCGCGCCGGCAGGAAGCAGACGTCCTCGACTCCGTCGTCGTCGTCGTCGTCGCCCTCGCCCTCGCCGTCGTCGCACTCGTCGCCCTCGCCGTCGTCGTCCTCGCCGTCCTCGCCGTTGCCTTTGTCCTCGTCCTCGCCGTCGTCCTCGCCTCCGCCGCCGTCGCCGCCGCCGTCGAGGGGCGCGCCAGCAGGAAGAAGACGTCCAGGGGCGAGTGCACCACCAGCGGCACGCGCGCGCCACAGAGCGCCCTCCAGAGCCGCAGCAGCCCGCCGCCGCCGGGGCGGGCGCTGGCCTCCTGCTGCGGAGGGCATCTCTCTTCTCTGGAGGCAGAGGAGAGGGAATCGCTGAAGGCACAAACTGAGGCCAAGCACGTCTTTGAGGCAGACAAGAAGTCACTGAATACGTACACGGAAAACTCCAAACGGTTCGCCTTCAATGAGCTTGTTGTCGCTCCTCTTCCGTTAACCTCCTCCTCCTCCTCCTCTCCTCCTCCTCCTCCTCCTCCCTCCTGTTCCTCATACTCTCCTTCTCGCTCTCGTCCATCTACTCCTAGTTTTCCTCCTCCTCCTCGTCTCCCTCTTCCTCTTCCTCCTTCTCCTCCTCCTCCTCTACCTCTTCTCTCTGGCGTCTTCTCCTCGTGTGTTGTTGCGTTGATATAAGTTGCACTATTTGGGGGGAGCGTTGCTTCCTCCTCCTCGCCTCCTCTTCTTCCTCTCTCTCCTCCCCTCTTCTCCCCCTACCTCCTCCCCTCCCTCGCACCTGCTCTGCAACATCCCCTCCCTCCCTCCTCCTCCTCCTCCTCCCTCCTGCCTCCTCCGCTTCGATTCTCTCCCTCCTCCCTCCTCTCTCCTTGTCTTCTCTCCTCTCCTCCCTCCTCCTCCTGCTCCTCCTCATTCCTCCTCCTCCCCAGCACCCTTCCGAGCGCCAGTGGGGGAGGGGGACGGATGACTGAATTTGAAGCCATTGGCCTCTTTGGTGTGCATCCTCACCAGATGCAAATTTGCCATGACCTGCTCAAGGACAAGTCGAGTTTGAGGGGTGGGGGAGGGATAGGGAAGGAGAAGGCCGAGGACTTTGATTATGAGGTGATCTGGTTTTCGCTGATGTGTTCGGAGGCTTGAGTGGTTGGGGGAGGCTCGGCGAACATTGTCACCCCTGAACTCTCACATATCATGTAAGGAACCCGAATATGTGTTTCAACATGTGCCGACCATACAAATTCATTTGTTTGGTGTGATCACAATGTTCCTGGGCGCTGGTCCTGTAAGATTTCGTTGGAAGGCGGGAAAACATATATATATATATATATATATACATACATATATATACATATATATATACACATTCACATATGCATGTGTGTACGTATATCGGAATCAAGAAATGATGATATCATGTATGAATACAACTATACGAACACAATGGGTACGGGTGTACATAGAAAACGGATCTACCTTGGTCTCGGGCGCGCCAGCTGGGCTGTGTCCGGAGCACCCCTGGAGGGCGCCAAGACGGCCCCGGAGTGCCTCAAGAGGGGCCAAGAGGGCTCCGAGAGGCTGTCCATATGATCCAAGACGCCCGCGAGTCGTATCTTCCCCCCCACAAGAAGCCCCAAGAAGCCCCCGAGCGGCCCAAAAGAGGCCTCCAATCCCCAAGAGGCCCCCAAGAGGCCCCAAGAAGGCTCCAAAACGGGCCCCAAGACGCTTCAGAACTGCTCCGAGAGGCTCCGCCAGGCCCCCAAACAGCCCCGAAGACGCCCACAAGAGGCCTCTTTGGGGCTTCCCGGAGGCCTCTTGAGGCCTCCTCGGGCGAAGATCTCGGTTTCTCGGCTCACGTCTGGGTCGGGCGTGTGCTCCTGCAGGCGGATTGTGGGCGGAGAATCCAAAATATTCAAAACATAAATCCACACCTCGTCGAAAAATCCTCCCCAGACATATTCCTGGACTAGTTTTGAACATTCCTCCTGTAGAGAGACGTGCCCGACATGAACTCACGCCCCTGATCCTGGGCCGCGGCCGGGGCCCTCTCGGGCCGTCTTGGGTGTCTCTTCCGCCGCTTTTCGGAGCCGTCGTGTGGCCGTCTTGGGGCGCTCTTGGAGCCCATGGGCCCCTCTTGGGGCGATCATCGGGGCCGCTTGGGGGCGTCTTGCAGCGTCCGCAAGCGGAACAGGCGGAAACACCAACATTTGTCAAACACCTGTGGAGCATGACTGTTGTTTGGCCTCTTCGAGCTCTCTTCGGAGACCTCTGAGAGGCCTCTTGGGCATCTCTTTTCTGAGGGGGGGGAGGAGGAACGGAGACAACACGATGACATACTCGGCGACGACTCTGTGAAGCCACACTGAGCGACCTGAAGTATTGTGCACACGAATGGAATTGACGCGCCCAGCTACGTAAACTAATGCGAGCGATAGCTTATATAAAAACGGCCTCCGAAACAACGAACAAGGGACAGCGTAACGCTATGCGAACGCAAACAGATACGAATTCACCCGAAATCGCATCAGTGGCGCCGGGAGAACAAGGGGGAGCGGAGGGAGGCAAAAGACAACGACAAGGGTCCGGAGCCAGAGCGCTGACTGGAGAATGTGCGTGTGCGGGGGAATTGTAACGGCGTTGTGATGCCGTCCCCCGCCCCACCAGAAGCAGACAGTCACCCGAGCGGGGAGTGGAAGACTCGGCTGTGGACACACCTCCCTTTAGTAAACCTCCCCTTAGCGAAAACGGCCTGGGACCGAAATCGACGGACCTGGACCCGCAAAAATGACGGCCGCGACGCCCTCTCGCGAACCGAAAACGGCCAATTCCTTAATCGACGTGTCAGGGTAGGAGGTCCGTCCACCTCCGAAAGACCCGAGTACCTGTCGCCCCGCCTCGCCAGGCACGGGCACTGCGCGAAGTGCTGCAGCCTCGCCTCGCAGGCACCCCGAGGGCGAGGCGCCCAGCGCCCGACGCGGCAAGCGGTCTGCCAGCTGCCAATGTGGTTTTTTCTCCTGACGTTGGTGGTGGGACGGCTGACGCAAGTCCGCGCGGGGCCGTCAGCGCTCGTGGCAAGCCGACGGGCGGCTGCCGCCGACGAACTACACGGCAAAGATCCCCACCAATCGGCGCACGCGCTCCACGTGTCCGCTCCAAGAGTATCGAGCTAGCGAGCTCACGGCAGGCAGCACAGCGAGCCAGATCCTCGTCGCCCGGCCCAGCACCGGCACCACGGCCGGCCCCTCCCGGACGCCCTCCCCTGCAGGCTGCGCCCCGAGCTCTGCCTTGTCGCTCGCCGAACAGACGGCGAGCACGCAGTCGGATGTGCAACTACTGCAAGCCACTCAGTCCTCCGGGGGCGCTGCCGCGGCCGTCGGCCGTCGGCGTGTGTCGCCCTCCATTTGCAGGCGCATCCTTTCGAGCGGCGCCTGCGCCGTGCAGTGCACACCCGCGGGCGCACCCCGTAGCTCCTTGCGCAGCCTCGCGTGCCTGACGCTGCTCAGCGAGGCCACGACGGTCCACGAGTCGACGTCATCGGTGCCGACATTGTGCCCCATCGACAGCACGACGTTTGCGCGCAGCTCAACCCCAGCCTCGGTCGCGTGGGCTGGCATCAGCCTCAACGCCGAGAAACGGCACGCGCTGAAATCACGGCTCACGTGCCAGGCCATTACTGCCTTCTGCACCTCCTCGATGAAAGCGTCTGGCTTGCCGTGGATGCAGGTCAGCAAGTTTGTCCCAGAACTGACCAGCCCGCAGAGGCGAGCGAAACCTTCCGAACACCACTCGATAGGGTAACCGTCATCCATCGGCCTGAAGCACACGGTGACCTCCCCGCTTTGCTGGACGGAGGTTCCGCTGCTCAGTAACGACCCCTGCAAGGTGCTGGCGGACTCCTGTACTGACGGCGCGACTCTGAACCTGTTCAATCCGAACTGCGACGCGGCAGTCGCGCTGGCTTCCGGAGGTACTCTGAACGACTCCATGTCCTCACACACGCCAACGACGTGGAAGATGTGGTCGTCCGCGTCGCAGCCCTGTATGTGGTAGAGCTGGACCTTCACGACGCTGGCGCAAGAATCTCTGAAGGACGTGTGCAGTGTTCCTGCGCCCTCCCGTACGCCGCGGCGGATGAAACTCATCAGCCGCTCGGCCTCTGCAGGGCTGGCGGACAGGTCCGAGATGGGCGTGCCCTCCAGCCCCTTGCCCGTCGGCCGCAGGAGGAGCGTCGCCAGCTGCGGCGACGGCTGCTTGATCCGCAGGTCCTCGCCGAGGTGCACCACGGCGTCGCAAAGCCTGGAGAGCAGACCATCCGCGGCCACCTCCACTCTGCGCAGAGCTTTCGCCTCGAGCATGGACCTGATGTCCGCCTCCCTCGCCTGGCGCACCACTCTGATCATGATGATGGTGCACAAATACATGGCAACCTCGGTTCGATTTTGGTATGGCGCAGAGCTGCGGCGCAAACAAACTGCCCAAAACGATACGTTAAGGAATGTTGCTGTGTTAATCTCGCCGGCTATAACGCCCGCTGCAAGCCTGTAAGGCGCCCTACTGGCTAACCAATACGGATAATCCGACTCATCAATCCAGATTGACTCAAACCACAAACGCACGACTCCGGCGATTGCAAAAAAGCGTAGACAGAAAACAATACCATCACCAGAAGACATTAACCCAGAAGAAAAAACACGATTGAATATGATCGGGATGAAGAGCCGGAAAATGCCTGCGGCCCACAACCCCAAGTTCCGCGACACTTCTGACTCCCAAGGTATGCCAGACCAGCTCTGGGCAAGCAACCTCCAATGTTGCTCCGCTCTGAAATCCCAGATAGAAGCGAAAGCTTGGGCACACACTGCAAGTTGTACTAGCGGCTTGACAACCTTCACGCGACCTGCTATTTCCAGCTCTCTCACCTTCCACTCGAAAGGGTCTCGGAAAGACTTTGCCAGTGACAGACGCAACCTGATCAGGGCAGAACTGCAAAGCGAGCGCGCGTCAAGATTGAGCCAAAGGAACTCCTCAACCCATTTTGACATGATGCAGCCCGCCCGCACCACCAGCGCTACCGTTGCGAGAAACAGGGACATAGAGGTGATGAAGACCACCAGCATTCTCGGATCAGCAAGCACCCAGCTGCCGGGCGGTGTCGCCCAACAGACACTTGTTCCAAGCTTCCTTCTGCGAACAACCTTTCACACACCTTCAACCAGAAGGGCTTGAACTCATACACCTTGAACCGACATGGATTGAGCCAAAATGGCTACGGAAGGCCTCTTGGGTATCGTGGGAACCTCCTGGCCGTCTGGAGGACGTCTTGGGCGTCTGGGACCGTCTAGTGGCCTTCGGCCCATCCCGCCACCGTGCCGGGGTTTTGGGTTAGAGGCTTCTTGGAAATTCGTTTGGATATCGTGGGAGGCCGCTCGGGTGCCTCTTGGAGGCAGTTTTGGAAGCCTCTTGGGGGGCCCTCTCTTTGGGTCTCTTGGGGGCCTCGTGGGGGCCTCTTGGGCTCTCTTGGGAGCCTCTTGGGGCCTCCAGGGGCGTATCTTCGGGCGGAAGGCTCGGATAGTCGGTTCGCGCTCCCCCTCTTGCTCTTGGGGCCATCTTGGGGCCATCTTGGGCCGTTTCGGGGCCCTCTTGGACCGTCTTGGGGCCCTCTTGGACCGTTTTGGGGCTTAGGCCGTCTTGGGGCGGTCGTAGGGGCCTTTGGGGCCATCTTGGAGCGTCGGAAGCCCATATCGCGAGAACGCGAAAAACACAGAACATCATGAGGGAAAGTATTCCTATTTTTGGCCCGGGGACAGTTTGGGGGGCATCTTGGGGGCCGTTGGGGGGCATCTTGGGGCCTCTTTTAGGGCCTCTTGGGGGCCTCGCGGGGTCTCTATGGGGCCTCTTGGGCTCTCTTGGGGGCCTTTTGGGGCCTCCAAGGGGCCTCTTGGGGCGCAAGGCTCGCATTGTCGATTCGTGTTCCCCCTTTTAGGCCCTTCTTGGGGCAATCTTGAGGCCCTCTTGGGCGATCTGGGGCGCCTCTTGGGCCGTCTTGGGGCCCTCTTGGGTTACCTTCGGGCGGTCTTGGGGGCCTCTGAGGCCATCTTGGAGCGTCGGAAGCCCATAACGCGAGAATTCGAAAAACATAGAAACACACAAGGCACATCACTGGTGTTCGCCCCTTTGGGCCCTCTCGGGGGTCCTCGTGGTGCGCTCTTGGGCTTGTAGGGGGCATCTTGGGTCGTCTTGGAGCCCTTGGAGCGCTCTTGGAGGCCGTCTTGGAGCGCTCTTGAAGCCATCTGGAGTGCTTTTGGAGCGCTCTTGGGCTTTCTTGGAGGCCTCCTGGACCCTCTTGGGCGCTTGCTGGGGACCTCCGGCCTCTCGGGCCGCTCCTGGGAAGCGAATCGGGAGGGCAACAAACAGCTCGTCTGCAGGATGGTTGCGGGGCGCCCCCAGGCCGGGGAAGGGAGCATGCATCTTATGCTATTCGGTAAACTTGAGTAACAAGTCAGCCTTCCTATTTATACATGTATGTTTCAATGTATAGAATTACATACACATAGATGTAGAAAAGGGGGAAGGCAATGCCGAGGAAGCGGAGTCGAACCGAGTCGAGAGCCGAACTCACGAGCGCCTCGCCCGCGGCCTCCCTCCCTGTCCCTGCCCTCGCCTCTGGCTGGGGACGCAGCGCGGGCTCTAACTTTCGCACTTGGGATCTGCTGGGATGGCCTCGAGGGCGTCGACGCGGAGGACGAAGGCGTCGGCGTGCCAGACCCGCGGGACGGCCCCCCAAGGGTCCAAATCGTGAGCACAGATTCCGCCTCTCACGGTCTGCGGAGGGGCAGCATTGGTATAAAGGGGGGAGGGAAGGCGGGGAGGGGGGGGGGAGGGAAGAGAGGGGAAAAAGAGACACGCCAAGTGACTAGGTGCGCTCGCGCCACACCTGACATCCCGGGCCATCCCTTCCCATCGCGTTGAACGTGTTCTATCTGCCGGCTGCGGCGTCCCAGAGGACTTTGACTACCGACTGGCACTTGCAGGATTTGACTGATCGATTGCTGCGCGGCTTTTGTACATTAGAGGAGGCGGATGAGCTCGAGGAGGAGCATCAGGAAAGGGGAGGAGCAGCAGGAGCAGGAGGAACAGGAGGACCAAGGACAGGCGGAGGAGGGGACAAGAGGGGGAAGGCAGAAACGAGGAAGAAATAGGATCCACAAGTGTAGCCCGTGCTGGGGCGAGAGCGTCATTCCTTACGACTGGCGCAGAGCACAGACCTTGGAACGTGGCCAGCACAGCAACGGAAACAATGTTTCTGAAGGACCACTTGCGTTCCGACGGGGACAGCACACGCGCAACACATCAAGCAAGTGGCACGCGTGCCCAAGATCGTACAACGGGTGTTTTGCTATTTCGGGGCTCCTTCGGGCCTGTTTGGGTCCGGGTTAGAGGGCCCCGTGGCCGTACGGGGGCCCACTAGAGGCAATCCTGGGCCGTCGAAGGGCCGCCGCTAATGTCATCTTGGGGAGTCGCAGGACTCCAGTGGACCTCCTAGGAAGCATCCAGAGCTTGTCTCGGAGCCATCTTGAGCTGGTCAGGGGAGAACGTCGAACAAGTGCGATTACCGTCGGGGGGGGTGCGTCAATCATCTTGCGGCCTCTTGGGGGGGGGTGCGTCAATTATCTTGCGGCCTCTTGGGACCAATTTGGGGGCCTGATGGTAGTCGTCGAGGCCTTGGGCGTTCAGAAATCCGTCATACATAGTATTGGGAAGGCACATGGAAGAAGGGGACCGGGGTGAGGAGACTAAGGGGGTGGAGATGGGGGGGGGACCGCTCGCACGGTGAGTCGAGCGGTCGAAACAATCCCTGTGATCGCACGGCTTGACACGGCCAGGGTAGAGAGGACAATGTTAATCATATCGCATACGTAACTGTAGAGGGCGGATGGGGGAGAGGAGGCCAACCTAGAGGGGCAATTCGAGACGCTTGTTTACCCTCTGAGTCCTCCTCGCTGTTGTTGTAAGGCACGCCGTGCTGGATGCACTTGCTTTCATCAAGGTCCAGGCCCCTCTTTTCTCGAAGGAACCGCAGCGCGCCATCGTCCTTGTCGTAATCGTCCCTGGGGCGCGTGAGGAAATTGTACGTCACGCAAGTCCCGCGGACGACCATGGTGAACCCGATCTCGAGGGGGGCATACTTCTCGGCAATGCGGCTGTACTTGACCGTCCGCTCCGTAGCCGTCTCTGAATCACTGTCAGCGCATCCCTCAAGGCGGACTCCTGACAACTCCATGTCGCACGCAACAAGCTGTGCCTCAGGCAGGCGACGCTCAAAGTCAGCCGCCAGCTCATCGAAATTGGACGCGCAGCCTTGCATCGCAACGCTATGAATAAACCTTACCAAGCCCAAACGGCTGTGGACACTCATCCTGCTGCTCCACAGGCCTCCATGCCTCCTCCTCCATTCCATCTCCCATTTCCCAACAAGCGCGATACACAAAAAACACATGTGACACAAACACACGTGTGATAAGACAGCGAGGCTTGTTTGATCACACTGTTGTTTTATCACGCTTGATTTTTGCTGTACCGCACTTGTTCGGAGCATCCTTCTGCCCCAGGCCTCCCATCCTCCTCCGTTCCTTCTCTCATGTTGTAAGTCCGGGGGGGTCTGCGTCTTTCCCGCGAGCAAGGGGGCCCTGCTGTCCGCGCGAGGCGGTTTGAAGGCAGATTTCACGTCAAGTTGCGCGGCGCGCTTGCCTCGGGCGGGCGCTTGCCTCGGCAAGCAACTTGCCGCGACGCCAGGAGTCCCATGTCCCATCCACGTTTGCCCTCCGCCCTCCTGCCCCTTCTCTCCCTCGTCATTCCCCCTCAAACTTTCTGTTGAGTTGTACCTGTGCCTCCCTCGCTCTCTATCTTCCCCCCCCTCTCTTTCTCTCTCTCTCTCTCTCTCTCCCTCCTCCATTCCTCCCCCCTCCTGCCTCCTCCCTCCTCCATCTCTTCTTCTCGTCCTCCGCCTCCCCCTCGTTTTCCTCTCCTCTTCTCCCCTCTGTTATCATCTCTTCTTCTCTCCTCCCCCCTTCCCCTTCACCCCCCCACCTCCCCTTCTTCATCTAAATTATTCTGCTCCTGTTGCTGTTGCTCCTCCTCCTCCTCCTCCTCCTCCACCCCTCCACCACCACCAACTCCTCCTCTTTCACATCCGTCTCCCTCTCCCACTTCTCTTTCTCCCTCGCCGTGTTCTCTTCTCCGTGCCGAGCCCTGCGACCCAACGTCTCTGGAGGCCTCCCGAATAGGGTCCGCGTAGAAGATGTAGGGGAGCCCAGAATCGAATCGAGAAATCGTATCGGCTTGGCATGAATCCGGTCGGCGGAAGTCGGCGGCCAAGTCTGGAGAAGCCGAATCAGCGGAAATCGGCAGGCTAGCAAGGCCTCCTCCGAGAAATCGGCATCCAAATCGGCATCCGAGGTCGAATCGAATCGAACCGGAATCGATCGAACTCGAATCCATCAAACTCGAATCGACCGCTGAAGATGGGGTCGAAAGATCGAGCCGCACCGCCGATGCATCGCTGGATGCATCAGCGATGCATCTCGGCGATCGGCGACGGCGGCGATGCACTGGCGACGTCGGCGAGGAGAACATCGGGCTCACCATCGATCCGCATCGCCGATGCATCGGCGATGCGGCAAAATCCTCCGACCCCATCTGCGTTAGAGTACCATGTGGGAGCTGCCCCAGAACAGGAACATCAATAGATGGATCTACCCTTTCTCCGACCTTGTACTGCGCCGAACGCAACGGCCGTGCTATGTGTAAACGTATCCGCCCCGACTGCGTGTATAGCCGTAACGGCACCGAATGTGTCCGCAGACGCTTGTGGCCAGAACGTGAGAAAGGTATTTGGCCTTGGCCCGAGATAACGGTCTACGAAGAAGTCGACTGGGCAATCCACCATCTGCGACGACCTCATGTGGGGTGCCACGAGCGTCGGCGGTCAGCACTGGCGGGTCGTCCTGGGGGAGTGGTGGGGGAGGAGGAGGAGGAGGAGGAGGAGGAGGAGGAGGAGGAGGAGGAGGAGGAGGAGGAAGAAGAGGAAGAGGAAGAGGAGGAGAGAGGAGGGTCTCGTGTTCCTCTCTAGAGGAGGAGGAGGAGGAGGAGGAGGAGGAGGAGGAGGAGGAGGAGGAGGAGGAGGAAAGGAGGAGGAGGAGGAGGAGGAGGAGGAGGAGGATCGGTTGCCCACCAATCATCCTCCGAATCACTGCCTGTGTGGACGAGTCGTTGGTGGCTGCCGAGGCTGGGCCTGGGGCTGAGGCTTCTGCCTGGGCCTGAGGCTTCCGAGCGAAGAGCAGGCCCATCGCTCCTCGCGTCTGCGGGATTTACGGGTTCGAGTGCAGAGAACCAGCCACCTGTTGGCTGCTCGTGGGAAGCGATACGAGATCCCCAGAGCTTCGCCGAATCATGGGCCTACTCATAGCAGCCCCTCCGATCTGGCACAGCTTACCATGGAGAGGGCACCATTCTGACCCCCTGGGATGCCTGCAGAACATACACGCGAATCCTGCACCCAGGTTGGGCCTGGCTGGTGTCGACGTCTGTGTGACAGCCCCTGAGCACGGGTGGCAATGCTCCTGGTACCTCCATCTCCTCTTGGCGGGGGTGGGTGGGGGCAAAGCAGTGTCAGTGACACCCCGCCGTGCGGTACCCATCAACGAGTTAGTGTTGAAGCATCACCCGGCCTTCGGAAGAAACCAAAGGAGCAACACGCCGACAGGACGTGCAGCTGCGACGTGTCATTGTTGATACTCGTCTTCCATCCCGATCCTCCGCCCGCGCTTCAGCTCTCAATCCCCAGCCCCGCGCGGGCTGCCTCCGCCGCTCGGCTCTGGCGCACCGAGCGCCCGCGGTAGGACGCCTGGCGGCGCGAAGGGTCGGCAGCAGAACTGCGCGACTCGCCGCGTCTCGCACGCGGCGAAACTTGCGCATCGACCTTCAAGCTTGGGCTCACGTGTTCAACTTTGGCCACGAGGTCTGAAACCCCACAGGGCCTCTGGGCGTAGGTGATTAACAGGCCCTCTCTTCCAGCCCTTTCCTTCCCCTTCGGGGAGGGGCTTAGCCATCCCCTAACTGCTTCCATGGAGGCCTGGACAACACTCCCCCCGATGTTGGGAGCAATCCCTGCAAGCTCAACCCAAACCCGGGCTAACTCGACTCAATCCCAGCTGCATGTTGTAGCATTGTGGCCGATGTCTGTAAACATGCTAATTGACCAACCTTCGGGTGATAAGAGGAGGTTGTGTGTGTGTTTTGGGAGGCACCATTACTCATTCGCATTGGACGCACACTTGTACTCACGAGAGGACACGCGTCTCTCTCTATGTATGTATGTATTCAGATTTGTAATGTATGTGTACGGCAGGTTCGTGTCGTGCCGACTTCGGCGTTGGTTTTTGACGCCGCGGGGATCGTTCAACCTTGAAAGATCCGCCGTTTCCGAAACGTCCAAATTGTTCCACATCGAACGATTCTGGGTTGCCCGCCGCGCTCAACGTTGAACGCCGTTGGCGGGATCGCCGCCGGTCGACACGACACGAACCTACCGTATCCGTCCATCGATCTGTCTTTCTCACTGACTACCCGTATATCCCCATCGATATGTAGGTATCTCGATGTATCGCTCAACTCAGATATGGCGTACCCATCGGTCTAAGTGTCTACCTGTATCACCATTTGGACACAGGCATCGCTATCAATATGCTTGTTGACCTCACGAAGTGTCAGGCCAAGTACAAGACAACCATCGGGACAACTTGTTTAGATGTCCATATCTGTACATGCAGCTATCTTCCAACCCGTAAATACATTTATCATGCATGCGAACCACAAATACAAAGAGCAATACGTAACACTGTCTCTCCACCGGTTCCACGACATCGATCAACATATCTGCCTACTAGCCACCATGTTTTTTGCTGTTTGTTGTCCTTCCAAGGCCTTCAAAGGTTCCTTGCAAGGCTACGTACCCAACCCTTTCTGGGGCGCATTCTGGCAGCCGTTCTGGGCTGTCTTGAGCCGTCTTGGAAGCGCTCAAGCTGTCGTAAGGGTCTCCAGTTGCTTATCCGCGCCCTGCTCGGATTTCCCCACGTCCTTGTGGGACCTCCTGGGGCTATCTGCAGCGGCCAGGTAGGGGCCAAGGAGGCTCCAGAGGGGGTCGTGCCCCAATTGGGGCTCGGGCCCGTGGTTTGGGGGCAGCGTGAACTAGGAGGAGGAGGAGGAGGAGGAGGAGGAGGAGGAGGAGGAGGAGGAGGAGGAGGAGGAGGAGGAGGAGGAGGAGGAGCATGTATTTCCTGAGGGGCAATGATAAGAGCGGACTGGCAAAAGGGGGGATGCATCCACCTGGAATCCGCAATACACCGGCGATAGATCGGCGACAGGCCACCGATAGCGAGTCCCGACGTTCCTGGGCGGGGTGGGGCCAGCGGGCCCCTATCGGCGATCAGTGGGCGATTTGGGGTCAATGCATTCCACCCCCCTATGCCTATCCCCCCCTATCGTTGCCCCCGATTTCCTTCAACGCATGTGCTATGCACATTTGACAAGGCGCGGGCTGTCGCATCGTCTCACCAGCCTCTGTGGACGCGGGCTGGGCGGAGTTCGCAGAGCTTCATCAACTTCTAGCTTGGGGGACCCTCAAGGCTCTCTCTGCCATGTGGCGCCCTGTCGTGCAATGTTGGTCTTCTGTGTCGCTGCTCAGGGCACCTATCCTCGGGCGGGAGCGCAATGGAGTTCTCCCAGGGTGGGGGCCTTTGAGGCAGATTTCGGGAGGTCTACGTCGACTCCGACGAAGGCGACCCCTCCCTGCCAGCAGCCTGGATGCGGACGGCCGCGGCGGCGCGCTCGGCCTCCTCTGCCCTGCGCTTGGCCTCCGCCACCTCGCGCGGGAGGGAAACCGTGCGCCAATACTTCCAGCCCTCCCCCTTCAGAGGGAACGGCAACGAACGGAGCTTCTATCGGCGCGGGCTCCAAGGCTGCACATATGGCATCACACAGCGTCAATATGCATGCCATGGACCCACTGGACGGCATCGACTCACGGCATGCAATCGATCCCACACTTCGCTCATTTCGCACCCGCCTCTGAACGATGGAGCCCCTCTCAATCCTGCTGCTATGCCACAGGAACGCGGAATTGGCCCACGTCGCGACCGACGACGCGGCACCTTCCACCGCAAGGAGCATTCGCAATTGAATTCGCGCACTGCTTCGCTTGCCGGCTCACAGCAGTAGGGGGTAGCGCGAGGAGGGCGGCCTTCCCAGACGAACGCGGGGGGCTCCTTAGAAGCGCTTCTTAGAGACGTCGGATCCTTTCTAAAAAGCCCCTTGCCTTCCTAGAATACCCCCTCGCCCCCCTCGCCTCTGCCCTTCTTAGAAAACCAACCCCCTTGCCCCTGGCTTTCTCAGAAGACCGCCTCGTTCTGCGCGCCGCCAAGTCGCCCTGCAGTGAACCCCTGAACAGCATGCTGATGCGAGCGGACGCGCGACGCTGCAAAATGGGCCACAAGGCACAAGGCACGAGGCACAGGCAACAGAAGGCGAATTGTAGCACCAGCCCGAGGGGGAAACACGGATGGGGGCCATGAATCACGGACAAATCAGGGCAGAACGCAGCAGCACGCCCCAGGGACATCGAGAGGTCCACGCAAGTCCCGGGAGGTCTCCGCAGGCTAACCTCCGACTGCAGGGGACTCTGGAGGCTTCACGCGCGCCAGTGGTGCCTGAAAGCGTATAATACAGCGAGGGCGGCAAGGAGGTGCGCCCACGGACGACGCGCGGTGAGGCCGCCGAAAGTCGACGCCGAGGAGGTGCGGTACCCACCGCGGGGGGGCAACCGAGTAGGGCCACGGGCCGCCACGGACAGCCGAAGGCAGGGGGGGCACCGCGGGTAGCCGAGGGGACGGCGCGTCACCGGCCATGGGAGGCACCCACCACGGGCCCAAGGCAGGGTGCGGCATACACCATGGGGTGACGCAAGAGCGGGGGCACGGCGCCCGTCCACTCGCAGATGGCCCAACCTCCATTAGCTGTTGAAGCCTCCTCCTCCTCCTCCTCCTCCTCCTCCTCATCCTCCTCCTCCTCCTCCTCCTCCTCCTCCTCCTCCTCATCCTCATCCTCATCCTCATCCTCATCCTCATCCTCATCCTCATCCTCATCCTCATCCTCATCCTCATCCTCATCCTCATCCTCATCCTCATCCTCATCATCCTCATCCTCATCCTCATCCTCATCCTCATCCTCATCATCCATCATCATCATCATCATCATCATCATCATCATCATCATCATCATCATCATCATCATCATCATCATCATCATCATCATCATCATCATCATCATCATCCCTCCTCCTCCCCACTCTTCTTCCCCCTTCCTCCTCCTCCTCCTCCTCCTCCTCCTCCTCTTCCTCCTCCTCGTCATCGTTCCTCGTCATCGTTCCTCGTCATCGTTCCTTTCCTCGTCCTTCTCCTTCTCCTCCTCCTTCTCATCCTCGTTCCTTTCCCTCTCCTCCTCCTCCTCCTCCTCCTCCTCCTCCTCCTCCTCCTCCTCCTCCTCGGCCAGCCTGGCGCCTCGCGCGAAGCCTCCAGAGGTCACTTGAAGCCAGAGCCCCCCCAATGACGGCCCCGTACGTTCGACGCGCCCTGGCCAGGGCCCGACATCGGTGAGGCCCGGGGAGCCCCGGACAGAGGGCGGGCCTGGCCATAAACCGTACCCGTGCCGATGCCTGGCTGCCCCCTCCGATTTGCAAGGAGCAGAAGGAGGGACTCCTCCCAGTGCCTCCTCCCAGCGCCTCCTCCTCCTCCTCCTCCTCCTCCTCCTCCTCCTCCTCCTCCTCCTCCTCCTCCTCCTCCTCCGCGCTCCTCCTCCTCCTCCGCCGCTCCTCACCTCCTCCTCCTCCTCCTCCTCCTCCTCCTCCTCCGCGCTCCTCCTCCTCCTCCTCCTCCTCCTCCTCCTCCTCCTCCTCCTCCTCCGCCCGCGCCTCGCCCCCCCCCCCGCCCCCGCGGGGGCCGCCTCCGCCGCTTGGCCTCGGCGCACCGAGCGCCCGCGGTACGACGCCTGGCGGCGCTGAGGGGGGGCGACTGGCCGACGGCGGCAGCGCACCGCGCTGCGCGCGCGAGAGGGCCCCGCGCGCGCTGGGCCCCCCAAAAGACGCCCCGGCTCGCAGTCCCGGAAGTTTTGGCCCGCTGGGCTGGCCTGGGGCTGCACTCGTGGCTGCGAGTGTTGGCCCGGAGGCTCCCCACAGCTTGGAAAGGCTCGTGCCCCCTGATGCTCTTCCGCGGCGCCCGCCGGGCTGCCAGCTCAGAGGGGGCCTTCGAGAGAGGGCGTGCCCCAATCTGCCCGGGCTCCCCACGCGATGAAGCGCCCTGTGCCGAGAAGTTTTGGCCGAGGGCGCCTCGTTCTCGGGCGAGAGCGCTCGGAGGATCTCAGAAAGCTGAGACCAACGGCTCGGACGTGGACCTCCCCTCCCTGTCGGCGGCCTGGATGCGGACGGCCGCAGCGGCGTGCTCGGCCTCCTCCGCCCTGCGCTTGTCCTCCGCCACCTCGCGCGGGGGAGCGGGCTTGCAAGCACTTCCGCTCTCCCCCGCAAAGGGGGGGGCAATATTAGCGCGGAGTCGCATGGAGACATTAGCACAGATCCCCGAGAAGATATGAAGATCAGGAGTCGATCTCGAAATGGTTGGGATTCATGCTAAGGCACGGCGGCCTCAAAAACAACCCGTGCACCAAGTCGTGGGGTAAGTCTGCAGATTGAGCCAATGCTGTTCGTAACCTGAAACACGGCAAACCATGTAAGGTGTCCCGAGAGTTACTGTTTGGTCTGGAGCCATGGGCTTGGGCGCAAATCCTGTAGTACATCAAAAACTTGCAGGACTGCCAATGCAATCATGCTTGCAGAATTGAGCCCGCAAGGCACCACTGGGATCTTCGACCACTTACGCGATCGTGCGACCACTGGATCGGCCCAATGGAAAGGTGCCACTGCACGGCACCGCAAAACACCAAGACTCGCGAAGAAATCCACAATTCACGCACCGCACACCTGCCAAATGATTGAGAATCCTTTTGTAAATCTTGCGTCGCGGACATGTGGGCACGAAGTTGGACCGAAGTTGGAACACGTCACGGCAGGCAACGCGGCTCTTCTGACTCAGTGAGCATTCGCAGTGTAGCTGCACACGCACAGTATGACCCTCACCCTGGAGGGAGCCCCGAACCCCCCGAAGCAATGTCCTCTTTGTAGCGGGTGCTCGGCAAGGTCACGGGCCACAGACGATGATAAACAACATGCTACACGCATGCGGGGAACACCATACCCGAGGGCGGAAAGCAACGAGGGTGCGTCGCTGCATCTCCCCAAGCGGGGGGTGGTTGGGAACCCCCCTCCCCCCCCTTTCCCCGATCCGTCGTCGGGGACCCCTCCCCCCTTTCCCGGTCCGTCGTCGGGGACCCCCCCCCCCTTTTCCCGATCCGTCGTCGGGAAGCCTCCCCCCCCCTCCCCCCTTTCAAAAGGGGGGGGGGGGGGGGGGGGGGGGGGGGGGGGGGCGAACCCCCCCCTCCCTTTGGCCGCCAAATTCGATCCCCCCCACGGCGCCCCCGGGCTCCAGAACCCTACCCCGTATAACCCCGAACACGAAACCTCACCCTTACCCTAACCCCAAACCCTAACCCTAGCCCCAAACAGCACTCACTACTCATTACACACTACTCACTACCCACTACTCACTAGTCGCTACTCACTACTCACAACTCACTACTCACTACTGGCGAATCACGAATCATTATTCACTACCCACTACTCACGACCCACGACCCTCTACTCTCTACTCCCTACTTGCTACTCACTACTCACTACTAGCTACTCACTACCCACTACTCAATACTCACTACTCACTAAACACAACTCACTTCCCACTACTCACGAATCACAACTCACTACCCACGAGCCACGAACCACCACTCACTACTCACACTTCACTACTCACTACTCTACTGCTGCCCGCAACCCACTGCTCACGATCTACTACTCGCTACTCCCTACGCAGGACTCCCTATTCACTACCCACTACTCGCTACTCCCTGCACCCTACTGGCTACCCAATACGCACTGTTCATTACCCACTAGTCAATACCCACAAGGCCCAACTACTCAGTACTCACTACTCCGTACTCCCTACAGACTACTCCAAACTCGCAACTCACTACTCACTACACCGTACTCAATACTCACTACTCACTAAACACTACTCACTGCCCACTACTCACTACTCGCTACCCACTACCCACTAACCACGATCTACTATTCACTACTGAGTACTCACAGTTCACTCAGTACTCACTGCCCACAACTCACTACTCACGATCCTCTGCTCGCTACTCGCTACTCCCTACACAGTACTCGCTGCTCACTACACACTACTCGCTACTCCCTACTCGCTACCAAATACGCAATATTCACGACCCACAGCGCATCACTCACTACTCACTGCTCCCTACTCCCTACTCACTAGTTACTAGTCACAAGTCACTACTCACTACTCACTGGCCAGTACTCATCACCGCTACTCCCTACGCGCTGCCCGCTACACACTACTCAATACCCACTTCCCCCTTCCCACTACTCACTACTCACTACCCACCACTCCCTACTCACTACTCACTACTCAATACTCACTACTCACTACTCGCTACTCCCTACTCGCTACTCACTACTGACTACTCCCTCCTCGCTACTCACTGCTCACAACTCACAATGCCCTATTCGCGACTCGATTCACTACTCGCTACTCCCTACTCGCGACTCACTACTCACTACCCACTGCCCACTACCCACTATTCACTATTTGCTACTCACTACTCATTGCGCACTACTCACTACTCACTCCTCGCTCATCACTACTCGCTATCATCTACTCACTACTCACTACTCACTACTCACTATTCCCCACTCACTACTCTCTACTCAATAGTCACTCCTCACTATCCCGAAGCCAACCGCCCCCCCCCCTTGCAGAAACCACAAAACACCATAACTCATAACGCGTTCTCGCCCCCGAAGCCATGAACCCGGCCCACGGAGGCTGCCCAAGAGCGCGCCACCCCCTCTCCAGAGCAGAACAACTGTCATGTCCTGCGCTGGCATGTACACTGAAGGCCCGTCCACAAGAAACCTTCCACGAGAAACCCAACCCTGAGGCCCCAGGACGTCCATTGCACTTTGGTGTGGGAACGTCACGCGTTCCACAGAAAAACCATCGACACCCAAGAAACCCAAGGGCACCCTGGAGGAACGCAGGGCGTTCCTTGGCATAGGTCTCCAGCATATGTTCGGGGAGCGCCTGTCGCTCCCCTGGTCGTTTTTTTTCTACATATATATATATAGTGTTGTTCGCAGCCCGAGACCACGACCCGTGGATGATGACCACTGGGCGCGTGCTCCCGAAGCCACGGCACCGCGTTTGGACAACAAGCCCAGCAACCGCGCTGCCCGTCAACCAGCCGACAAGACAGCCAAGCGAGGCCACGCAACCCACGTGAGAGGGGCCAGAGGCAGAGGTCGCAGCCCTTCAGGTAAGCTGTAGCCTGGTCTCTGTTAACATGGGATGTCATACTATTGACTGGTATTGTATGCCTTGCGTAGCATGACATATAATAGCGCACCGTGTCATACCATGTCGCAGCATCGAACACCACATCACAAGACTAGCACATCGCTGTCTGATCATATATATATATATATACATACACATGAGAACAATACCACGCCACAACGTGGCATATCATACGTCTTGCATGGCACATGATGCCACGTTTTCCGATGCCGTAATCTGGCATCGCGGGGGGGAGCATACCACATCACTCCATCCTATACGTCCATGGCATTGGTTTGCCCAATAGGCAACGTGACAACTCAACACAACATGGTCTATCATAACACATAATGTCATGTTCTATCTAAACGGTTCACTTACGCGAGGAACCGGGCAACCGTGTATGAAGCGGTCGACTACAAATGTCCAGACTGCATACGTCTTCCCAGGACAAAGAAGACTCCGTTGGCAAACCGCATTTTGGGGAACACCAATGCGAAGTAGTCAGAGCCAATTCGTAGCGGCAACTCCGGCCGCGCACGACTCGTCCTGGCCAGGACCCGAGATTGCTGAATCGGATCGACACGTCTCTGCAATAGATAAACACTTATACTGCGCACGCGCCCTGGATCGAGCGAGAGCGGGCATGGCCAGGATTCGTGTCGACACCCATGCCTGGGTGACTTCCCGCCTCCAGGGAACACTGAAGAACCTCATCCTGAGCCTTCTGACCCCACAAAGCACAGACATGGACCGTCGGAGCTCCACGCGGACTTCTTGTGTCGGCGCTGGGCTCAAGAAATCTGCGCAGACCTCCGACAGGTGGTGCTGATGTAGTTTGTTGGGTGGGACTTCTGCTGGGGAGACCACAAAGCACCGGGTGCGTTCTGACCAGAATTTCGATGCGGATCCAGCGGTGGGGACGAGGGCCTCCGCGGAGGCCCAAGACGTGGGAAAACGAGGGTAGAGGTATGGGTACCTTTTCCTTCTCTGATTGTTGGGTCTTCTACGTCCGCACTTCCGACCCCCCCCCCGCCACCACGCGGGCCGCCTTAGCCGCCTGGCTTTGGCGCGCCGAGCGCCCGCGGTACGACGCCTGGCAGCGCAGAAGGGGGCGGCGGCCGACCGCGCGCCGCGCGAACGCCGCGCTTTTGCCACGGGACTCTCTCGGGAAGCGCTGGGTGGGGCATGTCCTCCTGCAGGCGGATGTCGGAAGAAAAGTTCAGAAGATGTAGTGCAACAGATATTCCAACATAGTCAAAAAGTAGTCGAGGAATCGTCCCCAGACTATGGTCTTACGATTCTGGAATACTTCTCCTGTAGAAGGACATGCTTGACTTAAAAGAAGCGGCCCAAGCAGCCAGACTCGCAAACTCAAACGCTGGGCAGACGCCTTCGCGATTTCGGCCCAGCGATCTGTGCCGTGCCATCGTCGCCCTCTCTGTCGCCAAGCTGCCGTCTCAGGGCGCCTACGCTCGGGCGAAGGCGGGAACAACAACTTGCTCGTGGTGGTGGGGCGGGGACAATGGAACCAGACTTTGGAGGGTCGACACCGACTTAGACGAGAGTTTCCCAACCCTGCCGGCAGCCTGGATGCGGACAGCCGCGACGGCGCGCTCGGCATCCTCTGCCCTGCGCTTGGCCTCCTCCACCTCGCGCGGAGGCAGAAATAGTGCAATCACTTCCAACTCGCTCTCCAGACGAACGAGCAACGCGGAAGCACGTCGCGACAAGAGACCAGAGCCCTTTTCGGCACAAGCTTGAGGGATACACGCAGAGCGACACACGGCGCCAGCATGTATGCCATGGCACCAGCGCAGGGCACCGCTGCACGGCACCACACAACACTGGTCCTGACGAACGAGTCAACGCATCATTCACCCTTGCCTGCTGTATGATTGCAGTCTCGCGTCACGGGAAGGGGACGCTGGCATTGAAACGCGCCGCGACATACAACACGGTAACTTCTGCCCTTCCCCCCCTGCAGATGTCTGCAATGGCACCGAACCCGCACCAACTTCCCCCCTCACGCTGCAGAACCATCCGGCAACAGTACCCCCACGACAGCGGACGCTGGCTTTCTGGTGCACTGACGGTCGAGGGGCGGCACGCTGCGCCGACTGGGGGGACATCACGAGGGCCACGGACGAGCGCATGCAGGCTGTGACGCGCGCGTGCGCTCGTGGGCGACACGCGCGCGAGGGGGCCACGGACAGTCGAAGGCAGCGAGGCGCGGCAGCAGATCGGGCCGCAAACCACGGACGACGGGAGGAAACGGCGCGGCAACACGGGGGACAGGCGCGGATACCAAGCCCGGGTCACGCACGGCCGAGGGCAACCACCCTGGGGGACGGCTCGCCCCACCCTTTCGCAGTCATGGAGGGCCCTGCGTCCTGCACCTGCGAGCGGACTGCCCATGAACACGAGGTGCCCACGCGGCCAATCGTGTATCTGATTCTGCTCATCTGGGGAAACTCTCGGAAGCCTGACCCCACCCGTAGCGGCCGCTCCCGCCTCGCACGAGGAGGAGGAGGAGGTTGAGGAGGAGGAGGAGGAGGAGGAGGAGGAGGAGGAGGAGGAGGAGGAGGAGGAGGAGGAGGAGGAGAGGCGCCTCGGCCCAGGATCCCCTCATGTCGCCGAACAGGTCGGCCCGTGGCGGCGCCCAGCGAGGCCACCACTTACCGAACTTCCTGCCACATCCTCTTCTGGTCCGCGCCATACTCTTGCACTTTCCATTCACATTCGTGTTCTCTCGTCTCTTTCTTGTCCGCCAGGGAGGAAAGGCTACCTCAGGAAGTTCCTCGTCGCCGACAACGCCATCATGCACGACATTTAAACGGGCCCCACCCGGTTGCCTAGGCCTCCACACTCAGAGGCTCCGAACCTTATCAAAGCTGTGGACCGCCTGGGTTATGCAGCCCGCACATGGAAGCGCCCTAGAGTGCGAGACATCAACATGCTCTTCAGCGAGGCCACCCGACATCGTCGGGACCAGGGCCGAGATGATAGACGGCACGATCCTCAGGACTGCTACCGCTGGAAACCTCGGCCAAAAACGGCGCCGCGGTCAAGTGCAAGAGGCGGGGGCGCGGCCGGGGCCCCCCTCGGTACCGCTGTCGGGTGCCGCGGCGCTTGGTCTCGTGACTGGGCCAACCTCGGCGCCACTGACGAGTCCCGCAGCGCTGGGCGCACCGCGCCCTCCGCCACCTCCTCTGGCCACCACTGGGCCCCTGGCTACTGGCCTCTGCGTCCGGCGACGCAGCTGCGTCCCCGACACGCCGCTCCGCATCTCCACAAGGCTGGATGCAGCCTCGAGGCAGGCCGACGGCCAGCGCATCGCCCGACCGCCCTGGCGTTGCCTACCCTTCCAAAGCGCGCGTGGAGGCTGCCGCGCAGGGCCCTACAGGGCCCCTTTCCTGCAGCCCTCGCTCCCCCCACTCATCGCTCCCCCATAAATTCGCGCCCAGGCTCCCCCCGGGCGGGTGCTCAGGGGAGGTGGCCCATGTGGGGGGTGAAGAAAAGGGCCCTCAAGGGGCCCTTTCAGGCCCCTTTTGGGCTGCCGCTGGCTTCAAGAGGGGCCCTGAAAGGCCCCTTCGGGGTCCTTTTCTTCACCCCCCATGGGGGTCCCCCCCCCATTACCACCCGCCCGATCCCCCTCCACACGTCGTCCCGGGCCCGCGAGAAGCAGGCTGGCGGGCTTCGACGTGCGCCCTCCGGGCCGGCAGGCCTGGATACGCGCGGCCGCGGCGGCGCGCTCAGCCTCTGCGGCGCGCCAGGCCTCCTCTGCCTCGCGGAGGAGGGTGGGGACGCCAGCCGGCAGGCCCTTCGAACTCGAGGATCGAAGAGGTTCGAAGATCGAGGGCGGAGGTGAGGCCATCGATGGACGAGTGAGGTGCGGGTCTCGATGATGGAGTTTTTTTCCCCATATCCTAAGATGGGGTTCTTGTTATTACTTGGACGCCTCCTACTCCCTCTCCCTCCTCCTCTTTCCTCCTCCCCTCCTCCTCTTTCCTCATACTCAGACCTACTCATACTCAGACTTACTCATACTCAGACTTACTCATACTCAGACCTGCTCATACTCAGACTTACTCATACTCAGACATACTCATACACAGACTTACTCATGCACAGACTTACTCATACCCAGACGTACTCATACACAGACTTACTCATACCCAGACTTACTCATACACAGTATTACTCATACTCAGACTTACTCATACCCAGACGTACACATACACAGACTTTCTCATACACAGACCTACTCATACCCAGACTTACTCATACACAGACTTACTCATACACAGACTTACTCATACTCAGGCAACTCATACTCAGACCTACTCATACTCAGACTTACTCAACACACATCAGATTTGGAGGATGTCTCAAGCGGGGCGCTGGTTTCAGCACCCCTAAGGGGAGCCGCCAGGGGTGGTTGCACGGGCTCGTTCGCGGCCATTTTGTGGGGATGTCTCAGGCGGTTTGCTTGTTTCTGGGCCCAACATCCTTCGCTTTCGGAGCAGATTTGGAGGATGTCTCGAGCGAGGCGCTCATTTTCACCCCCCAGGTGGGCCAGATTTTGAGGATGTCTCGATCGGTGTGCTTGTTTTGGTGGCCAGGCTCGTGGCCCTAAGGGGAGCCGCCAGGGGTGTTTGCACGGGCTCGTTCGCGGCCATTTTGTGGGGATGTCTCAGGCGGTTTGCTTGTTTCTGGGCCCAACATCCTTCGCTTTCGGAGCAGATTTGGAGGATGTCTCGAGCGAGGCGCTCATTTTCACCTCCCAGGTGGGCCAGATTTTGAGGATGTCTCGATCGGTTTTTTGCTTGGTTTGGCAGGCTCGTGGCCCTAAGGGGAGCCGCCAGGTGGGGCTCGTTCGGCGGCCATTTTGTGGATGGCTTTGCTTGTTTCTGGGCCCCAACATCCTTCGCTTTCGGAGCAGATTTGGAGGATGTCTCGAGCGAGGCGCTCATTTTCACCCCCCAGGTGGGCCAGATTTTGAGGATGTCTCGATCGGTTTGCTTGTTTTGGTGGCCAGGCTCGTGGGCGCATATTCTTCTCAGGATGCCACAGGAGGCTCCAACAGGCTCCAGGAGGCCCCAGGAGACCACATGAGGTCCCAGGAGGCATCAGGAGGCCACAGAAAGACTCAAGAGGCCACAGGATGTCCCAAGAGGCTCCAGGAGGCCCCAGGAAGCTCCAGAAGGCCTCAGGAAACCACAGGAGGCCCCAGGAGGCAACAGGAAGCGCCAGGAGGCCTCGGAAGGCAACAGGAGGCCCCGAGAGGCCCCAGGAGCAGGAGGCCTCAGAAGGCAACAGGAGTGGCTCCAATCCCATGTGTTTTACGTATGCTCCTATCGATTGGGCCTCACCTGGAGCACGATTCTTTGATGTTCTACGTATGTTTCTATAGATGGTCCTTCTCCTGTGTACACAATCCTAAATGTTTTACTCATGTTCCTATATATTGGGCCTCTCCTGGGGCACGAGTCCTTGGTGTTTTACGCGTGTTCCTATAGATTGCCCTTCTCCTGTGGCTCTAATCCGCAATGTTTTATGTACGTCTGTTGCTATAGATTGCGCCTCTCCTGGGGCACGAAACCTTCCTAGGAGGTCCCAGGAGGTCCCAAGAGGCTCCTGGAGACCCCAGGAAGCCCCAGTAGGTTTCAGGAGGCCCCAGGAGGCCCCAGGCTCATGCACAGAGACGCGCTCGTACTACTGAGGCTCATTCACACTCCAATTCATTCGCAGTTAGATTGATGTCCAGACCGTCACAACTGAAGCCCGTTAATATTCGAAAGCTCTTGCGCCTAGACATTCACGGCGGACAGATCCATGCGAGTAGATGCACATATGGGGAGCTCCACGCAGTGAATAATTATTTTTTGCCCCTGCTTGGGGCCGCCTGGGCGACCTCGTTCTGGCCAGGGCTCGCACCAGGACAATCAAAAATAGCACGTGGGCGAAACAACTGACCCAGGTAAGGGGTCTGGAGGTCTGGGTTTCGGCGACTCGAGAGTTGAGCCGTCGGATGTTTAGTCCTTCTACTAGCTCCCCCACCCCTCTAGGCAAGAGTGCAGTGCGGGAACGCCTCTCGAGAGACATTTCCATCGGCGTTGGCTCCAAAATTGCACGCACGGCATCGTGCAGAACCGAGTCGGGCAAGCAATTCCACACTCCGCTCCATCTTGCGACGCTGGCATGGGGCATGGGAGCTCGGGGCTGGCGCGCGTTCTGACAGGCCCAGCGGTAGCTTCCACCCCAGGCGATCGCAAGTGCATCGAGCAGTAAGGAAGAACCTTGCCAAGCTACCAGGCGTTCTCCGGAACCTGGGCCACGTCATGGTGGGTACTATGACGCAGTGCAAATAATACTGGGCAGGGCCTCCAAAAATGCAGTCAAAATATCAAAAAGCTTGCGAAACGGATTCGCGCGAAGGATGCAAGCCCCTTGGACGCCCACGTGTGAGCAACGCACGGCCAGAACATTTGAGGATGCAGCCTGGCCCAAGGGTGCCCCAAAGACCTGGCCAGCGAAAGTGGCTCAACGTGGACCGAAGAGTCCATGCTGCATGGGCGCATGGGCACCCTTGAGACATCTCAGATGTACCTTGTGTAATGAACGTGCTAGACAGAGCCCTTTCTGGAGTACCCAGCGGCCCTCGTCTCTGGAGTCCCTGCGGGGCAACTGGGGAATCTGGAAATCTTGGAACGCATCAGTATCACGATTTCTTGCTCCACTGAGAAGGAACAGAAAGGGAGGGAGGACAGTTGACACAGGTCGCCAGAGAGAGAGAGAGACAGAGAGAGAGAGAGAGAGAAAGAGAGACCGGACGGTCAAGAGCAGGGGGAGACAACAGGCCGCGTCCGCGGCCAAAGAAATGCCCGCTGCCGCCCCGCCAGGGCATTCCCAGGCGCAAGCGCAGCCCGGCCATACTCTAAGTGCCAAGTGCGGCTGCTAAAGGGATCCAACTGCAAGTTGGTGTTGAGGCAAAAACGTGCAACGAAATCCGCTGCCACGAGCTCCGGGTCTGAGCGACGAACATAACCTCGGTCGTCGCGAATCGCACCCCAAGATGCGCGGTTATCTTCACGCCCTCGCACCACCCCCTAGAGGCGGTCAGCTCAGCGGACCCGGCCGCGATGCGCGAAGCGCGGATATCGTGACGCCCATGGGGTGACCTAGCAAACAGGGCAATCGAGCTCTCACAGGTAAGACAGGCTTCCCAATGCTCACTAAGCGCAGTGATGGAGAGCATGTTGCAAGAAGCATTAGATGGGGAGGAGGGAGGGGAGGGTGAGGGTGGGATGGCCGCTTGGCCACCGATGTCTCTCCAAAGAGATTCTGGTCCTCTTTACTCTGTCTGTCTGTGATGCGACATCCCATGGCCCCTCCCCCCAGCATCCTCCCCATTGAAAGGCCGCGGACAGACACCACCACGGTGCCTGCAGACAACCTGATCCCGACTTACGACGGCCCCCAGAAGCCCCCCGCCCCAGACGGGCATGCATTTGGGCGATAAATATCCTTAGCTCGCCTCGGGGTCTTCTCAGATGGTCAATTGCAGAACCCGCAGACTGGCACCACTCCTCCAAACATGCCCCAACCTTCCAATCCTCGCCTGGGCCGCTGCTGCTTGACGCCCGCCTCCTCTCCCCCGGGCCCCGGACATCTCCTGTACTGCCCGCCCCCCTGAGCATCGTCGAACCGATCCTTATCCCCAACAGCATGGCCCGGGACCCACGGGCCGATCCGCCCCTCCCCAGATGGGGATATACAGGCCCTTCCCTTCGGGTTTCGAGGGACATACCCCAAACTGGCGTGGTGGGATGGTGGGGATGGGCATGGAGATAAGAAAGAAAGTGCATGGTTTTGCCCGGGGCCGTAACCGACCCGAGTAACAGGAGGAGGAGGAGGAGGAGGAAGAGGAGGAGGAGGAAAAGGATTGGAAGCGGAAAACTCACACTATTACTTTGAGGGAGCTCTTTGCTACAGGAAACGAACCTTTTTGGTAAAGTGCTCTTGCTCTGTTGCGCGACAGCCGCGGCGGCGCGTCAGCCGCGGCGGCGCGTCCGAATTGCCGAGCCACGTCCTGCGCTCGCGCCCCGGATCCCCTGTCAAAGAGCTTCAACAACTCGCTGGAAACATGTCCAAGGATCGCCGAGACCCGATGCAACGCGACCCTGATTACTCGAGCAAATGCATCGCGGCGTGAACTGGCAGGGAGGACAGGAGCCCCCCGGCCCCCCGACTGGGCCCTGGCACCGCACCCCCAGGGCTTTACTGAGGCAGACCGCGGACTGTACTAAAGCGAAGAAGCGGCTTTACTAAAGCGAGGAAGCGGCCTTATCAAAGCGAGGAAGCGGCTGTACTAAAGCGAGCCAGCGGTTTTAGCAAAGGCGCGCCGCTCAACAAATTCAGAAAGAAACGACGTTTTACTAAAGCAATAAAAGAGCTTTAGTAAAACGGAGAAACGGCTGGGGTAAAACTGCGCGCAGGAATTCCGCTCCTCCCACCGAATCTGGCGCGGGACTCCAAGAACGAGGGCCGGGCGCAAGTTCGCCCGTGGGCCTGGGTTTTGTCGCCGCCGTCGCCACGACGTTTGTCGTCGCCACCGTCGCCGTTGCCGCCGTCGTCATCGCCGTCGGCGCCGACGCCGCCGTCGCCGTCGCCACGACGCCCGCGCACTCACGTTATTACCAGCGGCGGGTCGCGCGTGGACGCGCGCGCCATTGCGCTCGCATTTCCGCTCCTCCGACGGGGGCCCAGGCGGACATCGTGTTTTTTCTTCCACCCACAACTTGTTTAAAGTACTAGAGGGCAAAATTACGCCCCCCAGAGAAGGAGGAGGAGGAGGAGGAGGAGGAGGAGGAGAAGGAGGAGGAGGAGGGGGAGGATGAGATGATAAGGAGGGAAGGAGGAGGAGGAGGAGGAATCAGGAGGAGAAGTAGGGGTAAGGGAGGAGGAGGAGGGGAGGAGGACGCAGCAGGAGCATGTGTGGGAGGAGGAGGAGGGGTCGCCTAAGCCCTTCGGAGAAACCCGTCCACATCTATCTATATAAGGGGATAAGGATCGGTCTGACGATGCGAACGTCGGCAGCGCGACCGCGGGGGGAGGGAAATGAAAGGGGCCAGGCCTTCTCGGAAGGCTCGGGAAGTCCTCCCGCCTTCTGAGCAGCTTTCTGAGCATTTCCTGAAGGGCCCCAAAAAACTTCTCGGGCAAAAGCTTCTCAGAAGGCCGGCCGGAAGGCTTCGGAGAAGCCTCCCCGCCGCCTTTTGAGAGGGCCTCCTCCCTCACTTCCTACCCTCGCTCGCCGCCAAACTAGCATCAGGTCGGGCGCGTCCCCCTACAGGCAGATTTTGGACGAAACAATTGAAAGAACCCCAAACACGCTCAAACATGATGAGAAATCGTCGAAACATCGTCCCCAAACCATTTTTTTTATGACTATTTCTGAATACTCTTCCTGTAGAGGGAGAATGCCCGACTTAAAAAACTAGCAAGGCCCCCCCCCTTTCTGGACGCCCGAAATGGGCACGGAAAACATGGGCACAATGCCCAACAACAAATGTTGTCCCAAACCAACAGCGGCCGCTGTTGGGCAGGCGGCCTACTCAAGCAGACACAGGCCGCGGCGATGCGGAGAGCGAGTCCTGTTCAAAATGAACATAGGGAAACAAAACTGTCATAAACATAAGAACTCGGAGGTCCGCGCGGATTTCTCGGATCGGCGCTGGACCCCCCTCCTGGCGGGCGGAGCGCGCCAGGGGCGGCGCCGGAGGCGCCGCTGGGGGGCCCCAGCGCCGATCCGAGAAATCCGCGCGGTCCTCCGAGTTTGTATGTTTATGCCACTTTTGGTTCCCCTATCAAAATGAGCAGGAACTGCTGTTGGGCATTGCACCCCTTCTTTCCGTGCCCATTTCGCTCGTGTCCCCCCTTGGCGGGGCGGACAGCGAGCCCTGTTCGAAATGAGCAGGGACTGCTGTTGGGCATTGTACCCGATCTTCCCATACCCATCTCGCTCGTGCCCCCCCTTGGCGGCGCGGGCCGCCTCCGCCGCCCGGCCTCGGCGCACCAGGCGCCCGCGGCACGCCGCCTGCCGGCGCACGCAGAGGGCCGCAGCCGAGCTGCTGGGCTGCGGGGAAGCTCCGGACGGTGGATGTCGGCTACACTCCAGGGACGAACAACCAGTCCAGGGGAAGGGGTCCAGACCCCTGGGGGTCCACGTTATCATGAACTCGGGGGTCTGGGGTCGGACCGAGGTAGAAGATCGACGTCGCTTCGGGGAGGGTGCCCTACGAGTGCTCGTGTTCGACGGATATTCTTGTGGATATTGTGCATCCTGTCCCCTCCAGGGGGAGGGGCGCGCTGGGCCTCCATTGTAATTCGGCGGCGAACGAGGGGGGGAAGTGAGAAGGAGAAGGCCTTCTCGGAAGGCGGCGGGACTTCCCAGAAGCCCTCGCGCCTTCTGAGGGGTTTTGTCTGTCTTCGGGGAAGGCTCAGGAGACCTCTCAGAAGGCCAGGGAACTTCCGAGACCTCTGAGAAGGCCCGCCCCTTCTCACTTCCCCCCCTCGCTCGCCGCCGATACACGCAAGAGTGACCCTGGGTGAGAGTGACCTTTGGTGCGCAGCTGTTTGGGGAGCCGCGGGGGGACCAAACACAGGGGCGCAGGGCGCTACTATCGCATCGCGTTCGGCGAGCAGGGGACCCTCATGTGCCCGCACCAAAGGTCACTCTGGCGAAGGGTCACTCTTCCGTCTAGTCGCGGATGGGGGAACTCGTCGGCCCAGGCCGGGCAGAAGGGCCCCTCAGGGCATGCTCGCGATCGCGGGCGCAAAGCGCGGCGGGAGGTGCTTGCTCGCCGCTCTTGGGCCCTCTGGGGGCCCTGGCCGGCCCTCGAGACGGTCAGGAGGCGACTCGGGATCCACAGAGACGGGCCCCGGGAATGGGTCCAGAACTCTGGCGAAGCGAAGCAGCCATACGCAAAGCGCGCGTGGGCAAGACAATTGGCGAGCGTGCGAGCTACGCCAAACGCGTTAGCTGGCGGACAGGAGGCGCCAAACGCGCGACAAGACAGACAGCAACTCTGGCGGCCGACGTCATACAACAATCATGGCGTCCTGGGGTCTGGCCCCGCTCCCCTCCTCTCCGCCGGGGCAGCCTGAATGCGGGTGGCCGCGGCGGCGCGCTCGGCCTCCTCTGAGGCGCACCGGGCCTCCTCTGCCTCGCGCGGGGGGAGGGGGCTGGCATGCGGACCGCTGCACGCCCAATCTGGAGGAGAGGGCAACTGGGGCCTGGGCCGGCGCGGGGCCCAATGCATCGGTGACGCCCTGCAACACGGTGAATGCACATTCACGGCACCCAGCGGCATAGCGGCATCGTGGCCACCCACTCAGACATCCAGGGCATGTTTTGGCACCGCCGCACGGACACCACCCGACACCGCGCCACGCAAGCCACTCCTCGCTTCACTCATTGCATACCCGCGTCCTGCGATGACACGAAGGAGAGGGTGGACAAAAACAAAAAGCGGCATAAACATAACCTTTTGGAGGTCCGCGAGGATTTCTCGAATCCGCGCTGGACCCCCCTCCCTGGCGCCCTCCAGCGCCGCCAGGGGGGGCCCGGCGCAGATCCAAGAAACCCGCGCGGAACTCCGAAAGCTTTTGCTTACGGCGACTTCTCTTCTACGAGAGGGGCCCCGAGGTAAGAAGGGCTCTGGGACCCTGGGCATTCCCCGAGGCGGGTTCTTAGTCCTGGGACGTCTCGCCGTCCGGCCCTGGGGCGCGCGGGCAGGGACCCCGGAGCCCGAGCTCGGCGAAGGGCCTCTGAAGACCCGTTTCGCTCGGGACCCGCCCCCACTTCGTTTGCGACTACGGTGTGCCTCAGACAGTTGGGCATCTGAAATCCAACGTGAGATAGGAAGCCGTAGACACATACTTGACAAGAATGATGTATGGCACCGATGTCTGACCACATCCACCTCTGGATCCTCGATTCTATGATAGGCCCTCGGGGGTGGAAGTGGGTAGGTTTTCCTTCCCCTGGGGCGGGGAAACTGCCCACCTCTACCTCTGGAAACCGCTGTTCGCGCAAGGCACCTCGGGAAGTGGGTGTGGTCAGAAATCTGTCTCCTACGAATGAGGTTCCTGTAGATAGGACCTTCAGATAGGAAAAAACGCTCCGTCTAGCTGAGTCTTTAGGAAAAGAGCGCCTGGGATGCACCTGTCCTCTCGCAGGGACCGCCACATGAAGGTCCTTCCGAGACCCGGAACTGGCGCGCGCGCGCGCCCGCGGCAGGCAGCGCGGCCACCTCCGCCCCGGGGAGGAGGAGGAGGAGGAGGCGGAGGAGGAGGAGGAGGACGAGGAGGAGGAGGGGGAGGAGGAGGAGGAGGAGGAGGAGGAGGAGGAGGAGGAGGAGGAGGAGAAGGAGGAGGAGGA